CCGGGCGGGAGCAAGGCTCCATACCCATCATCGCCCCGTGGGGCTGGCGTGGCGAGGTGGGGGGAGGAACCGCACTCCTGACCACCATCGCCCCGTGGGGCCGTCCCGATCTCTCCGCTGGAGCGCGCCGCGGGGGGTGCCCAGGGCGACAAGCGGGGCCCGGCCCGGCAACGCGTTCCCAGCCCCACCCCGCACTCACCTGCCCGACCGGGCCCGGCCCGCTCCGCTCCGCTCCTTAGCGACCAGCGCCGGAGTCGGGGGTGGGGCTGCGCCGGGAGCCAGCTCCGCCCCTGGCCCCCATAGGACAGCGCCGCCCCCCCTCCCTCGAGGCCCCGCCTCCAATGCAGCTCCCCAGTACTTCCCCCTGCATGCCTCTCACTGTACCCCCGCACCCCCACTGTCTCCGCGCCCAGTACTGCTCCCCAGTATAGCCTCCCAGGCACCCTGCACTGCCTCCAGCCTACTCAGTATGTGGCAAACACCATAACAACCCTTTTACACTTTTTATTGGAGATACAGAAAAGACGTTTGAAATGTAAAGTAGTAAGCGTGGCTTTTATTTGAACAGCGTCCTTTGTTTCCCTTCCCTTTAGCTGCAGAGAGTTTTAGAAGGAACCCCCCCCCCCTTATTTGGCAGTCTGTTAAAGGGGATCAAAGACGATCATAGCTACCAGACAGCAAATGTGAAAAATCGGGACAGTGGGTGGGGGGTAATAGGCACCTATATAAGATAAAGTCCCAAATATCGGGACTGTCCCTATAAAATCGGGACATCTGGTCACCCTATTCTGGTTAAAAATAAGGAAAAGTTTGCTGAGCTGGCAAATGCTGTTGTTGCTATTGTCAAAAGTCCAACTGCAGGCGCCGACTTCCTCTCTACCTGGGGGGTGCGCAGAATAAGATTAAGGGCAGTAGCCACAGTTAGGGTTGCCAACTTTCTAATTGCACAAAATTGAACACCACTACCCTACCCCTGCCTTGCCCCTTCTCTGAGGCCCTGCCCCCACTCATTCCAGCCCCCTTCCATCCATCATTATCTCTCCCTGGCTCACCCTCACTCACTTTTACTTGGCGGGGGCAAGGGGTTGGAGTGCGGGAGGGGCTCAGGGCATGGGGTTGGGATGCAGAACAGGGTTTGGGATGCGGGCTCCAGGAGGGAGTTTGGGTGTGAGAGGGGGCTCAGGGCTCGGGCAGGTGTGCGGGGGGGGGCAGGGTGCGGGCTCTGGGAGGGAGTTTGGGTGTGGGAGGGGGTTCCATCTAGGCAGCGCTTACCTCAGGTGGCTCCCAGTCGGTGTTGCTCCTGTAAGCAGCCAGGATGTCTGCCCCCTAGGTGGAGGCAGGGCCAGATGGCTCTGCGTGGTGCATGCTGCCCTCACCTCACCCACAGGCACCACCCCCGCAGCTCTCATTGGCTGTGGTTCCTGGCCAATGGGAGCTGTGGAGCCAGTGCTTGGGGTGGGGGCACCTAGGGGCCACAGAGACGTCTTGCTTCTGGGAGCTGCGTGGAGCCAGGGCAGGCAGGGAGCCTGCCTTAGCCCCACTGTGCCGCCAGCTGGACTTTTAAAGGCCTGGTCAGCGGTGCAGACCGGAGCTGCCAGGGTCCCTTTTTAACTGGGTGTTCTAGTTGAAAACCAGATGCCTGGAAACCCTAGACATGGTGTAAGGTCTAAGGCCTTTTTCTGCAGCCACATTAGGACAGCAGCAGCCATGAGCCAAAAAACCAGAAAGTCACATCTGCACATTCCATCTAAATTACATTAAAACAATGAAATATCAGGCTGTTAAGAAAGCTGCTCCTGTCCTGTACCCAGCACCACCAGATAAAGAAACAGATCTTAATATGTTTAAAGAAAACTTTGTTTGATAAGTGATTCCTTGCAAGACAGAATACTATCAACAGTTGTGATTGTGAAATCTCTACTTCTTTATTGTTTTGCCTTTCTGGTCCCTACTTCTCTATTGTTTATCTGTATGGTTTCTGACTCGTTCTTTGATTGTCTATGCCTGTTGCATAACTGATTATGCAAGATTTAAATCAACTAAGGTGGTGCGTATGATTGGGTAAAGAATTGTTTTGCAACATGTTAGGATTGGTTAGAGAATTATTTTGTAATATTTTAATAAAATGATTGGTTAAGGTACGCAGGACTCAAGTTTCACTATATAAACTGGGGTCCAAGGAGGAGACCAACTGGGAAAGAAAGGAAAAGGAAAAACGAAGAATAAGAAGGAAATACCTGGAAGAAGAAGAAGAACTCACCTCCAAGACACAGCCCAAGATCAGAGCTGCTAGAATCCTCCACACAACTGTGACGTGCAGCAACCAGAACCCAGATGAGACCGACCTTGCCGGGCCAACAGGGAAAGTCCTCCTGCATGATCAGAATTGAGCAGAGCATTGTATGCTTAGGTGTGTAATCTGCTTGGTGATGGTTAATAAATAGGTGAAGGATATTACTGTGTAAGGCACTTTCACCAGGAAGAGGTCCCACAATCCGCAGAAGGTTACACCCTCAGTCCTAGGAACTGGGTAAGAGTAGGTGCCTGGATCCTTAGGAACTGGGAAAGGGTGGGGGTGCCTAAATTAACCAGTGAGGGTGCCCTAGAGTGTGCAGGTAACAACAGAAGGTAAGAGGAAAAAGGAATTAGCTAGTTAACTTGAGGAAGCAAAGGAGGAAGTTAGACAAGTCTTGTTGTAGGGGAATTTGTGCTTCTACACCAGTGGGTCTCAAACTTTTGTATTGGTGACCCCTTTCACATAGCAAGCCTCTGAGTGACATCCCCCTTATAAATTAAAAGCACTTTTTTATATATTTAACACCATTATAAATGCTGGAGGCAAAGCGGGCTATGGGGTGAAGACTGACAGCTTGCAAGCGCCCATGTAATAACCTCACTACCCCCTGAGGGGTCCCGATCCCCAGTTTGAGAACCCCTGGTCTACACACAAAAATTGCATCTGTTTAAATGCAATCAGTTTAGTTAAACTGGTGCAAACCCCTTGTGACATTGCACTCCATATGTTTTATGGAAATATGCTAATGAGTGTGAATATAATATAACTGGAATATGCTTTATGCAAAAGGTCTCTTGTAAGGTATCATAACAAAGCTTATAATCTACAGAGTGTGTTCATCCTATTTGTATGAATGTGTCATTTCTTGTATCTGAAGCTAGAAATATGAATTATTACTCTGAAGTCCTATTGTAATTATGCAAAGTGTGGCCATTAATGGTGGTTTAGAATCCTGATGGCTCCCATTGATCAGGACAATTGGTTGTAAATGGCTCTGTTTACTTGTAAGCCGTCCTGTGTTCCTGTGAGTCAGGCGGGAAGAACAGAGACTTTGGGCTGGGCTACACTATGGGGGGAGGTTCAAACTAAGATACGCAACTTCAGCTATGTGAATAGCGTAGCTGAAATTGGGGTATCTTAGTTCGACTTACCTGGCTGTCCTCACGGCAGCAAGTCGACCGCGGCTGCTCCCCCGTCGACTCTGCTTCCTTCTTTTGCGGAGGTGGAGTTCCGGAGTCGACGGGGAGTGCGTTCGGGGATCGATTTATCGCATCTAGACGAGACACGATAAATCGATCCCCGATACATCAAATAGACGTACTCTTGGAGTCTCACAGGACATGTGACCATGTCACCTGGTACTGGAATCCATCTTAAACCTGGTGCTTTTTCATTTAGAAAGAGGGGTGGGGACCCAGAGAGACAAAAGATTCCCACCTTGTGCCAAAGCCATAAAAGGGGGTGGAACAGAACAAAGAGGGCTGCCAGTATATTTATATGTATATAGCACCTCTATATTTACAGAGGCGAGCTGAACCGATGTAAACCAGATTTCAAATGATGTAAGAATGTCCACACTCAAGGCTTCACAGCTTTCACTAACTCAGATTCAAATCACACCTTAGGTAACCTGCTGCAACTCTGTGTGCAAGGCAGGACTGAGACTATAAAGTAGGGTTACCATACGTCCGGCTTTTCCCGGACATGTCCTGCTTTTTGGTCCTCAAATCCCCATCCGGGAGGAATTTCCAAAAAGCAGGACATGTCCGGGAAAATAGGGAGGCATGGTAAGGGGACTGCCTCCTCCCCAGGTTCCAACTTTCCAGGGCCAGGTGGCAGCTGTTCGTTCTCCCCACCTGGGCAGCCGGACTCGGGAGCAGTCACTGCTGCAGCTCCCACTGCCATGGGGGGAAGCAGCCAAGCATGTGGCGCTCGGCGGCTGCGGCTCTGGCGCCCGGGGCGTGAACCCCCTGAGCCCGGGCCTGCTGTGGGGACCCCGCTGGTGCAATCCTGCGGGCGGCCCCGGAGTGGGGGCAGCAGGCCCCAGACCCCCCCGTCCCGCTCGGGTCCCGCAGGGGAAAGAACAGGGCTGCCGATGCCTCCGCCCCGGGGCCGCCCGCGGGATTGCACCAGCTGGGCATCCAGCCCAGACGCAACTGGCCAGGGGCTGGGCGCGCGCAGCGTGCGTGCTGGGTTGCTGCAGCAGGCCCGGGCTTGGAGGGTTCGGGCCCGGGCGCCAGAGCCGCAGCCACCTAGCGCCATGTGCTTGGCCGCTTCCTCCCCCCGTGGCAGTGGGAGCTGCAGCAGCGGCTGCTCCCGAATCCGGCTGCCCAGGTGGGGAGAACAAACAGCCGCCGCCTGGCCCCACGGGCCTCCCCGCTACTCTCCCTCCAGGTACCGCCCAAGTCCTGCCTGCACTCGGGGCCAGGCCGGACTCACTCACCCCGGCCCCGCGCTCCCCCTGCGTCTCCCGGGCCTCCCTCCAGCGCTTGCGGAGGGAGGAGGAATGGTGGGGGGGGAGGGGTGGGGGTGTTTTTCCTTCTTTTGCTCTGGTCACCCTGGGGGCGGAGTTGGGGCGGGGCTGGGGCGGGGCGGAGTTGGGGCGGGGCCGGGGCCCCGTGGAGTGTCCTCTTTTTGCAGGATTGAAATATGGTAACCCTACTATAAAGTCACTGCACAGAGTGAATGGTAGCACAGCACATGAAGGTGAAACCCCTCCTGCCCCTGCCTGTGCCGCAGCTTGCGACTCCATGGCTTATGCCTGCACTTAGACCTGCACTGAGGTGTGTGCCCAACGTCTGCCCCAGACCGCTAGGGAACTGCCAGGCTTCCGGACATTGGAGGACAAACAAGGATAAAAATGACCCTGCTCAGCAGGAGCACCTGAAGCTCAGTCCCATGAGATTCCTTGGGTTATGGACTTGACACCTGCTCACTTTAAAATAAAAATAGCAAA